TTAATTATTTAATCCAACACGTGGCGTAAAATATATATTATTTCAGACGATGGATCGTACATCGTCACGCACATACTCGCGTGCTCAAATTTTGCCGTTTGGCAAGATTAAGAATTCACCGAATGTAAGGCGATAGCGATGATCACGTCGTCAGCTGATCTCACCTGTTGCATTCTACGCGTAACACAATCTGCACACGCGGCGACACTCTCGTACGTTGATCTTTCTAATCTTATCTTGAGTCAGAAATGACTATCTTCCTTTATTGTCACTCATTAATTTTTAAACGTAAGCAGCGAATATTTCTCACATTCCATTCGTAAGGAGAGAATCACTCGCTTATGAGTCACTACACATAATCTTCCTTCTCGATGTTACAATCGAATTTTCGTATTCCTCTCGTCACCTCCTAAATCGTCCAATTTTGATAAAATCGCGACCTAGTACCGTGCCTCTTTAAATTCTAACGAAATCCCGTGTCCCCGTTATTCACTCTGAAACCGCCTAATTTCGAGACTGAGCGGAAACAAAGTAATTTTTCACGAGATACCGTTCGCACTCGCGCAGACAGTCGCGGTTTCGAGAGCGCCAGCCGGCCGATCCGAGAGCGAACTTGTGATCGGGCGGGAATTTGGAGCAAGCGTGATCGGAACGTCGACGGCGCGGCGGCACGCGGAACGTCGCGACGCGGCGCGACGCGGTGCGCCGCGACGGCGTACGGCGACAGGTGCCGAAGGAGCGTACGCGGAATCGAGACGCGGTCGTGTGCCGGCGTGCCCGCCAACCGGCCCCGCACTGGTCCACCGCCGCATATAACGTCGTCGGAGCACGTGCGCGGACCGCCGCCGCCGGGATCGACGAGAAGAGCCGAGATGCAGGCGAGAGCGAGCCGTGGCCCGCGCGAGAGTGACTCACGGGCCACCGTCGGCGCACTTCGCGTGCGAGCGCGTGTGCGAGACACGCGGTTTACGGCGCACATACACGCGCGCGAACACGCGAGCGTCTGCGTATCGAGCAAATTATAAGACGGTATGAAAGTTTTTTTTTTTATAAACAATGTCGTGAATCAGATATGTATCCAACAATTAAATGAGAAAAGTTCATCTTTTAATAAAATATTTATTTGTATTAAATTTGTTTGTATTATATTTTTATTGAATAATTTATTTATTAAAAATTTGTCTTATTAATATTGTTATTTTCTTTATTTCTTCCGATAAAATTGTATGCTCGATTGTTTGGATATAACATTTTAATATCAAAAATAATAAGGTATCTAGTTTGTAGAAATATTCATTTTAGTTGACGCCATTTGATGATATCATTACTTTTGTAGAGAAGATAAAAATGTTTTTCTAATAAAATATTATATATCCAAATAATGAAATTGTATAATTCTTGATTGGATGGCGCTGATATACTTGGCGACTTTTTTACCTCTTTTATTAAAAAAGCGAGATCTTAGAATATTTAAATGCCTTATTTTGAAAATGATCAGCTTCCATCTAATAATTTTTAATACTTTGTTAATGCAATATTAGAACCGTGGCCTTTGTAGTAAGTAATGACAGTCGTATTACGCATGCACGCATAGCTGATAAACTGCGATGTTAGAAGAAAAAGTGTACCATACGCATCTTAGGTGGCCAAGCAAGACGCGATGCGTGCACGCGCCCGTTTCACGCGTACGCCAGTAAACAGACCTACATCTGGTACGCGGCTATATACGTCGCGGTTCATAAATGAAGAAAGTACGCGAAAGTACCGATTTCCCATTTCCGGAGACATCAGATACCATTTTATTAATAGCGGAAGCCAATTCCGAGATCACCGTTCGCTGAGTAGCGCAGCGGGATCACGAATAAATTTAGATACGCGTTGCATATAAGCGTGTATCACTTTGAAGTATGATTATTTACGAGTTTTCAAAAAGTACACATCGGATCACCGTTGCCCCGCGGTTCACTGTCAGTCGCCTGTCGCGTCCGACAATCGCGCGCGAAGAGTTCGAAATAAACCGAGCCGAGAATTTTCGACCTGGAGTTCCTTTGACGTGATACGAAACGCAAAAATAGTGAGATAAATATGCGACAGAGTCGTTAAAAATTTGCTACGCGTTCGATTCATTCTAAAAAAAACCCGTGAAAAATTGATTCACTTCACTGAAGTAACGAAATAAAAAATAAAACTATGAAAATTCCGTTTGCAAACCAGCTCCAAAATTCTGTAGTTTACGAATCTAGCTGTAACTGAACTATCGGTGCAAAGACCGCAATTCTAATATTACGTTAGAAAAATATTAACAATGTTAAAAATTAAATGTAGTTTGAAAATTTTCTACCGATGTTATCATTTTTGTGTATATTCGTATTATAAAATTGCTAATATTAGGTTTCTCAAAAGTATTTTAACGTAACGTAATTCTAATAATTTTCTGAACTTTTAATTCAACATGTTATATTCACTTGCGCCGTGTTTTATGTACTACCGTTTCATAATTTATTACAATTTTGATATATCTAACTTGCGAATCCACCCATGTGTTAAGTTGTAACTATCTCTTCTTCGTACTGAAGATGGTCCAATAAGGACCGAAACGTATATATGCATTTATAATTAAATAATTTTATTGGACACTACAACCTTGTTCAGGCTCTGAGTCCCTTCTTTTATTACTTGATTTCATCATACGAGCCATTGTTATTTATCTAATAATTTTACTATAACGCACAGAACACGGTCGAGTGCTGGAAAATGCGGATTAAGTTATGATGTCTCGACAAAGTCGTGACATTAGCTGCCACTGCATTTGCTCTCTCTCGACAGGGTTTGATACGTTATAAATCTATAAATAGCAACGCGCGGTCGTACTCGAGAAGGCGCCGGTCATCGATAGTCAAGATTCATAAAGCCGGAACAGAGCCGCGTGCCAGATCTGGCGGCTGGCCGCGAGGGAGCTTTATTTCGAATCGGTATACAGCCACCGTAAATCAAACAGATTTTACGTCCCGTACGTACAACACAGATTGCCAGAGGACACTCGCAGTTTTACGCATGCCGTTTTATGCCCATATTATGGATGACAGTCGAAGATACATGCAAAGAATCCTGTCGGCGCGTAGCTTTATTATGTGAGTTATTTGCGTCCATTGGAGCAGAACTTGATTTAGGACGTACATAATAGCGACGATTTTAATTTATTTACTCACCCCAACAGTCACGGGGCATAAAGGGATGTAACGCACACAGAAAGATAAGAGAAAAGACGTGGATTCTCTTTGCACTACCTGTTTTACGATAAATACGATGGTATTTGACGAATCCGAGAATTGGTATAAAAATTGAGAGAGAATGGAAAATTGACATTTAATAAAGAAAAGATTGTCTAGCAATATTCATTAACTAGTTATCGTAGGTGCGACTATCCTACGCTTAATGCAATCTTCGAGATGTACTGGTTTGCATTGCGCTACCAGAAGAAGATAATCATGAATGGCTTGCACGAGCCGGGGATTGCGCAACGGTTGCTTATTCTAAGTCAACGAGATCGGCAGTTATTAATCATCCGAGGTCGGGAGCGAGAGAGACGTCTCCGAAAGAGCACCACGCCGCCCATAAATGTCAACGATTTATTTTTACAACATGCGTCCCGCCGTATTACGATCTCGAGCGTAATCGCGCCCGTGTTGTTCGCTTATGTTCGGGCCTGTTGTTTCTCTTCCTGCCTAACGAGACTAATTTCCAACGAGCGCGAAACGGCGCGTCGAGGATACAGCGGCACCGATTCATCATCAATTTTACGTTCGGACACACGCTCGCCCTTTCTCCACTTTGAATGACGTTAACAAGTGTTTTTTCGCGATAAATAGCCCTGACTACAAATTCTTTGAATTTCATTTTCTGTCATGTGCTAAAAACAGTTCTTTATGATTGTGATATATACTTTAATATCAATTTGCACGTCTTCAACATTAAACATTTTATTATTAATTCAACTTATTTCTTATACTCTTCGGGAAGCAGCAAACGTTAAATTTTTATAAAATTTTGAGTAATAATTTTTCGTATCTAAGAAATAAACTGTTAGTACAGTTTAACAATTTGACACAGTTGAACAATGATTATAATACGTAAAACTGTTTATTCGTTAAACAGAGTCGATTACTCAAACAGAATTTGATCAGTATGTTAAACAATAATTGCAAATTTTACAAAATTCAAGACATACCATTTTATATTTTTTAATATCAATTTTAAAGAATTAACCGCAATTTTCTTTGAATATTCGATCACTACGGTGTAACTAAAGTCATTCATTCTCTTCACTGTAAAATAGAAATAAAATGTTTCCGACGTTTCCTTTCAAGTTGAAACAGGAGCAGAGATGCTGCTGTTGTTTCTCCCAAATTATTACAATCGCAATTAACGCAATGCGGCGCAAGATTTTCGTGCTTGAACTCGTCCTTAGGCGGGATATAACTGTGAATCCATCTCCATGCCATAAAAGCGCTACACGACGCAGCGGGCCCGCCTTTCTCTTTGCAGCAGAGAGATGCTGGAAGGCGGCCCCGCCTCCGCTCCCCAAAGCCTCAGGCAATTAATTCGCTATTACCGCATTGCCGGGCCGTAAGTCACGGAGGGTAATTACCGAGCGGTAATTTCACCGCTGCTGAGTTACGCTGCCAGGGTAATGGATACGTCGTGCGGTCATTGGAACCTAACAGTTTCAGCATGATTCGGCAATCCGATTACGCGATCGGATTCTCGCCGACTCTGTTTCTCTCTATTCACCGCGTCCGTAGATAATAACGTTATTTCTACCATAAGAAGGCCTCATCGTAGAGACTCTATTCCCGCAATCGTAATGAAAACCATTTTGACGATTTTACATCTCAACGTTGCAGATAGACCAAAAAACCGAAGTGTGTATAGCGTGTTCAGCTACAGTTTTAATCTTTGCTTTCGTTACGATGTTTTTACATTGCACGAAAAAGACTCACCTCCAAGTATGCGGTGAAAATCCGGAGCACGTTTCTCCACACTGTAAACAGGGTTGCCCTTCTTCCACGTCCGTGATGAGGACGCCCTAGAAACGAGTGAATTTCAGTAAATTCTTTAATAAACGAGTATAATAAATTAATCACGTAAAAAGTTAATAAAGTAATAAATAAAACATCTTGAAATATTCATACAATCTTAATTCTTAATTTTTAGGAAAAAAATTGCTGCTCGAACGCCCAAATATATATTCCGAGATTTGATCTTACCATCGATTAATCTACAGAAAATGGATTCAATTTAATAAAAATAAACGGAAAACTTAATTTTTATTAAGTGGCCCCTTTCATGAAATTAAAATAAACGTTTAAAGACCTGGGAATTAATAATCAATTTTAAAATTAATAGTAGATATTGAACATTATCTACAACATTGGTGAAAATTCACATTTGTAGGTGACTTGTCCGTCTAAAATGTCTGAATGTTCAAATTCCAATAAATGCAAACGTCCTCGATCGACGTGACCAATGAAATCGCGTTAATTGCAGAACGGTGAAAGGTCTGGATCATTGGAAATGTCAACCGTTGTATGCGCGAGCGTTGTTTGATAAACCACGACTTGATGACAGTTTCGAATAAAAATGCTCAAACGTAACGAAACGTCGTGGTGCTATCTCAATTATTGTGTACCAGGAGTATCAATATTACTAAACAACTTTTCTTTTTCAATGCCGAGTTCTCATTGTGGTAATCAACAGCTTTCGCAGCATTGAATGAAAACGTATCACTGCATGTATTTTAATATATGATGCATAAAAGATTTAAAAAATCCATCCAATGTTACAAGTTCTTTTTCGCAACGATTACACGCGCGATCTAACAATGAATTTTCCACTAAACAGATTTCACTCCAAGGGCAATAAATTCATGCTGCCAGCATATGTTGCCTATTAACTTAGCAGAAACCCCGCTATCTCATATTGGAAGCGTATTAGAAACATATCTCATGATAGGGAACTCTTCTCTATTTAGTTTCGCGTGCTAAAATATGTTTTTTTTTCTTTGACTGCCTCTGAAGTACCGATAGCTAAGGTAATTCCACATTAACGTCTAATTGTAAAAATTAACATTGATGTTAGGAATGTATTGAGTGTCAAAAGCGAAGTATTAGCACTTTGGTATTTTAACTGCGAATCCTCTCTCGCGGCGAAGAAGAACGACACGGAAGCACGTCGTCGTTTCGTACATGTATGACGCTCGCTGACACGTGCGAATGGGGACAAGGTCTCCACGAAATTATATGCCACGTGCAATTGGGAAAAATTTTTAATTGCGCGAGCCTTGTTATGTCACTGTACGAGGCGGTGTTTATCTCGTTTGTAAGCGAACGATGAACCACTAATGAGCGCTCGTCGCTAATAATAATTGACGATGCGTCGGCGAGGCTGACACGAAACAAACGTTAACTGCGACTGAATTGGCTCGTTGAAAATAAATTATAGAACTTTGATATACATATAAAACAATCCGTTCTCCTTCTCATTTTATATAATCTCGGTAGTAATTTATTCAAGAAAATAAATATGCGTTTCGCTTTATTGCTACGTTAAATTTATTCACGATCATCTTTTTACGTATATCCATTATTATTTTCTTTCTGATTAACAAATAGTAGTAACGCAACTTTCTACTTCTCTCTTCTTTTTAATTTTCTATATTCGTCTTTACCAAAAGAAAAGCATCTAGAAAGTATCGCTATAAAAGTCAAAGATTTTATATCAAGGATGTACTAAACCGGATAAACGGTATCCGGAAATTTAATGTCGAACGTAAAATGTGTAGCCCAGACTATAAGTTAAGGAAGGAAGCTCTAAGCACATTTATTAACAGTTTCCACATTAGATAAATCGACGAACGGGCAGGATGTAATAGGTGTATTACATTATCATCGAGCCCATGTACCGGCCGCGTCTAGTGTAACTATCACCTCGTATTATCGTCTTCGTTCAGGAAACATTAATAACACGTCGATTTCCTTGCACGCCCTGGAAGCCGAGATTACTCGGACTCGAGCAACGTAAATAATTGATGTTCCACCGCACGTTAGTCACCGGCTGTCTTCGCATTTTCAAAAACGTTTAAAGTATTTTTGACAGCGTGTTTATTCCTCCCGCTCATTTCATGATCACCGGAAATCAATTTAATGGGACGTCACGAATTTTTCGATGAAGGTTACGTTTCACCGAAAAGCAGGGTAGGCGGAACGTCATAAAATGCTAATATACTAAATATTCATTTATACATGTTTTATTATATACTAGATACTGTTCACACCAAGTGGAATTATCATAAACTAGTAAGAATTCATAATAAGTAGAATATTGTGCAATTATTTCGTATGAAGTAACGCAATTAATTTTTATTTCTATTTAATCCCACTAAAAGAAGAAAATAGGAAAATTAACACAATTCTATCTCATATACATTAGTCTTAAAATAAAATGTTAAATAATATTAATTAAAGATTTAAAATAAAAATTCCTGATTTATCGGAAGCAATCGCAAAATATGTAATTGTCGCGAATAGTTAAAGAATTTATGTCAATTTCTGAGGGCGTAGATCACCAAAGGAACTGAGTATCTACATACTACTTGCATCAGTCGAGTCTACGAGAGATCCCTGGTCTCGGTCTGTAGTCATCGGTTTGTCTACAAACGGAGAGAAGAGGAAACCGCCACGCTGGATGGAAGAAAGTGCCTGAAGCGCGTTGGATGCGTTCAAGAACCTTCCGGCCGGCGTATATGGTCGGTCCGCCCACGTGGATCCGCTCACTGCCGGCCTCATCGCCAAATATCGAGTAGACACGCGTTGGAAAATGTGCCAGCCGTAGCTGATCTGTCTCTAGCTGCCTATATATAGCAATACCGAATAACCGATGCCCGTAGCGTCGAGCGTTGCTGTCTAATTAACATATTTTTCGTCCTGACTCATCGCGCGGTGAAGGGCCTCGCTCTTTTCCACACCGTGTCAAGGCGGATCGCACGAAAATATAAACGGGTGCTTGATTATTTCGAATCCGTAGGGATATTTCGATACCTGACTCTTTTCATTATCGAAGGTTTAATAAGGAATTGCTTTGAACTGATTGTAATGAATCTGACTTAGTTGGAAAACCTCGAAAGTATCAAAGTTACAACTTTATTGCGTCAATGTGATTCTGATTAATTATCTATCTAAGCATTAAAGGACCTTCTGAAGTTTATGCGCATAGTAGCTCTTGGAATGATTAAACGATGCTTTTGATTGCAGTTGCGTTGCTCAAGAAGACAGATTACTTAGAATTAACATACCGCGAGCGTAGTGAAAAATTGATCATTCGCGGTTGGAAATTAACAGCGCTGCTGTAACACAGAATTGTAGCGAGAATGCAGTTTGGCAAATCTGGTTTGATTCGACGGCTGCACACTTTCGCTCGGTCGCTATTTTAACGGATCATAGCTGCCGTTAAGACGTCGAAACGCGGCGCATTTAGAATGTAGATTTTCGATCGAGCCATTACAAATCTTCGTCTTTAATCGAGCGAACGTAAACGACGAGGTTGGAAAACAAATTGTTACTCCGCGTTTATTAAGTATACACTGTCTGAAATATCTTAAACGCAAGAAATATATACTCTGATAATACACAATTTTGCCGCAAACGAAACTTTAGATAAATTTTATTGAATTGTGTTTCTTTATTATTCCTCAAATAAATATATTTAATTAATAATTAATAATATAAATGAGGCTCTATTTAAAACAAATATGCATTTAGAAACAATTTTGATAGTTAAGGTAAAACGAAGATAAAACGAAATAGATTTAATATCCGTATTAAATCTAGTGAAAATTATTGTGTACTGTTTCCGCGTTCAGCAAAGCTAATTAGCTTCTAAATTCAAACGTTGGACGATTGATTAGGACATGCGGGTCAACAAACATACCTACCCCCTTAACGAACCGATCACTCGATTATCCCGCGGACAAAGGCCGCGTTTTTAACGCGACGACCCGTTTAAGGAGAGATGTTATCCGTAACGACGTGTCTTACGCGCGATACTGGCCATTCAGCTCGTGGGCGGTTCGCTGACATTTGCATGACGCGTTGGCCAATAGACGGGGTGATTGCGAAAGTCCGCGCGTTGAAAACCTGTGCGCGCGGCAAACCCGACGACAATTTGATAAGTGATTCCCGCCGCTGGAAAAATTTGGTTTGCCTCGCGATGGAAACTGCGAAATCGAGTACGTAATCGAATCGATTACCTCAAAATCAACGTGTGCTACAGCAGCGAAACTTGGAGTGAAAACTATATAGCGCTATTTATTAAAAGAAAACGAAATTATTTCTTTGTATGAAGCGTAAAAGATAAACATTAAATAAAAATCTGTACAATTTGAATGTATGTAACAAACTCTTACTTTTTTTACCGTTACGTTATGCCTGAGTGTAAAATATACGATAGCAGGAAGTTATTTGTTGTATTTTATGAAATGCCTCACGTATATTTTTCTTGCTAGTCAATTATTGGTTTTTATTCTTGTAAAAATGACATTTGCTCGATGACAATGATATGATGCGGTGAAATTGATTTTACGAAAAGTTTTTACAAGTAAGATCGCAGCGAGCCATTGCGTCATTGCCATATTTAAAGGATTAGCAATGGTTGAGCTACCGGTATTTAGCTTTCACTTAATCGGATTGAACCACGGTGAAGCGTAATTTGTGCACCCTGTGGACGTAAATAGGCGTGGATGATAAATGGAGATTATAAATTGCTCGTTCTGGATGGGTCTGAAACGCTTATAAAGTTTGTTAAGAAACCAACGTGCCATTTGAGCGTCAATAAAGGTGCAGTGATCCTGTACCGTTTAATTTAACAAAAACAGTTTCACAGTTGCAAACAGTCGCGTAACATACGTCTACAATTTAAGAAATGAAAATAAACGTGATGTTATGATAAACATATGCAAGGATACACATAAAAAAGAAAATTGAATACAATTTGCAAGAGAAGATGATTAAAACGTGAAAGGGAATATAATTATAATATGAATAAGAATTATGAATAAGATTAATATAATATACTGTAGTTTGTAAAGGGGAAAAATGAGTGTTTATGTGGTTTAGTAAAATGTAACACATTGCGAGGGTTGGAGAATAAAATTGATGAGACCGATTATTCAGGAGAACTTTAATAAAATCCTGCTACACACAATTCGCTGTTGTGTTTATGTATTCGCAAGTTACGAAACTTATCATCTCCAATATAGCCACTTAATTTTAAGGTATCGCGCTCTCTCGACCGTAAAACGGCCATCGCGAAATTCCAGGCAAATTGCAATTTTAGTGCACGAGGCCGTGCAACATTGCGCAAGGTTTCCATGGTGATTCAGTCGCTCGTACTCGACGCGCGAGAGATAACAATGCTACTTCTCGCTCGCCAACGACCGCGGAAAATCGCCGATAAACAGGCACACAAAGTGCGCGCGGACCGCGATACTGCAAGCCAAACCAGTCTAACATATATCTCATCATTTAAATGGCGTTGTACAAACTCGTATATTCCAACTTTTCGAATTCCCTCTGCGAGAGGATCGCTATTAAGTGCACCAGTAAGCGACCATCAAATTTCTATTTCTGTGATAATCATACAAGAACCGCTATTTTTCTTAAAAATGAGAATACAGTATATTATAATTTCCAATAATTGTAGTTATAAATGAAGAATAAACCCTTCTCTCTCTCTTTCTTGCTGCAGTTAATAACGCTTGTACGCTAATTCTATAATATCCAGGTATTAAATGGTAATTCTGCCAATGGTCCGTAATTATGCTTATTAGCTATTAAAAGCTAATAATAATATACATGTAATGTTAATTCCCGTGATTTATTTATTAGAGATAGTGTTTAATTGTACATTTCTTCCAAGTAACATTGAAACGGATATGCCCGTATTAGATACGCCAATGTTGTATTTTGAAAAGCCAATTATTATGTCGAATATTTAACTACCAAAAAATGGCCAATAACTTACGACCTTGTCGTAATAATCTTACCTTAAATTAATGAAATATCTTTCGTTATTAATTTCACGTAATACACCTATCACGCCCAGAGCCAACGAGGAGATTTAAACTTTATTCAACGCCTAAGCCGTAATATATGTCGACTATAAATGATAATCCTGTTTAGCGAAAAGATTTGAATTGTCGGACAATATTTCTTAAGTGACCATCCACTGGTGCATTGCTACACTAGACGAGGGCAGAACAGGAATTACGACTCTCGCATTACGACCACACGCGACGTTACAATTTCGTTTTCGCACGACTTAGAACTTGGAACAAATTCACTTGACAATGAATCGAATTTCAGGGACGGCTGAAAATTGACGCAATCGCCGCGACTATAAGCCGATCGTTCCTACAAATGATGACGGGGATCGAAGAAACGGGAAAAGCCGGGCTCTCTCTCTCTCTCCCTTTCTCTCTCGGAACTTATCTTCGATAAACACCTCGAATCAACGCCGCATGGCGTTTATCGTTTCCAACCAAGACTGCCGTCTTTTTCATCTCCTCCAGCGATTTATGAAAATCGCCTCGCGCCTCTGAACCATAAAGGAACGATCGAAAGCAATTGACTCATGAAAGTGCCATACCCCTTCGCGGTAGTTCCAGAGCGTTCTCGAGGGCGTCGCGCCGCCGGCGTCGCCGCCGCCGCCGCCTCTCCCCGGCTGAATTCCGCCATCCCTTCGGGTCCTCCGCCAACGATCCTCTTCTTCGTCCTCGTCGCTGTCCTCGTCGTCGTCCTCGTACTTTCTGCGCCTCACCGCGCATACTTCCTGCGCGGGACGACGTCGACGGCGCCTCTCTGTCGCGCTGCCGGTATCCTCCGACGATCGTATCCTGATGATTGTGGTACCGTTGCGATCGCGAGTCGAGGAAAATCGCGGCGACTCGCTGTCGCCCGAGTCAATCTTGCCGCGCGTCTCGAAGCGATTCTCCTCGGGATCGTTCGCGGATGGCTCAACCGTGCTGCCCCGCGTGTCTTGCAGGATCGAGTATCCTCGCTCGGGCGAAACCTCGAGTCGTCCGTCCGGAGTACTCCGCAGCTTGCTATGATCCCGCAGATACTTGGCGGAAAACATCCGATTACTCTCGTACCAGGACTTGGCGCAGAAGTTTTTCGAATCCTTGGCGTTACTTTCTAGCTCGTCTTTCTTCAGCGGCGACAATGCTCTCAAGTGTCTGTCCGATTTCTTCTCAAGGACCTCGCGATCTCTGCTTCGCAATGACGCTCGTCTCCTCGAGGAAGTGTCGTGCTCTTTCAGGGAATTTGTTCCGACTGTCGCTTCGTTGTCCTCTTCCTTCAAAGGACTCGACACGCGTAGTTCATCGTCTTGCGTCTTGAAGGATACCTTGCCGAATTCGATATACCGATCGTTTGCAGTTTTCCTGTCGATATTGTTCTCGTAATCGTGATATAACGTTCGCCCGAATTCCTTGTCATCATCCTTGAAGCTGTTTCTCCTCCTTTCTATATTACTTTCGCGATCCTTGTATGAAATCTCGCCGGACTCGGCATTCTTTTCCTTAAACGAGTTCTTCCCGAAATTTTCATTTACGTTCTTAAACGAGCTGGTTTTACTCGACTCGTCATCGACGTTTCTTAGGACAATTCTACTGACGCCTCCTGCCTGTTCCATGGCCGAGACTTTTCTCTCCGCGTTGTCATTCTGATCTTTCAGAAAAGTTCTGTCGAATTCATTGTCTCGTACCTTGAAAAAACTCTTTCTATTTATATCCGCGTTTACGTCTTTGTAAGGATCCTTGCCTGACAGATCCTCTTGATCCTTGCCGAAATATCTGACGGAGGTTTCGTGTTGATTTTTCGAAAGGTGCCTCTTATACGCGTCATTATCCCGATCTTTAAAGGATGTTTTTCTGATTAAATTAGACTCACCGCGATCTTTGCTAGTCGCCCTCTTAGATTCAGCTTTGAAGGAATTTTTCTTGGTTATCGGTTCTCGATCGTATTCCTTTAAAGATTCTTTCCTGGCGAGACTTGGTTCCCTGGACGAACTTCGTCTTGGCGAACTTCGCCTCGGCGAACTCCTGTCCAGGTCTCTCCTGGGCTCGAGAACAGCTCGATCGTACCTCTGTATCCTGACGTCGAAGTCCTCCGGCGAACCTTCATAAGTGTAACTCCTCCTCTTTGAAGAATTGTCTCTCGATCGAGAATGATTTTCCTCGTCCTCTGTCGATCTTCCCCGGTAATTTCTCTCGGTGTTATAGGCGTCGCTCGTCTTTCGGAAACTGTCGTCTCTTCGAGGCTCGCGAGTCTCGTTCCGCCTTTCCGTGCTTCTCGATTTTCGATCGGTAGAGCGATCGCGCCGGCCCATGTCCACTTCTCGATCGGGTTTTCCACGCAGCTTGGATTCGCTCGATCTGCGTGGCTCGTCGCTGCCGTCTTTCAATTTCCTACCTTGATCGTTAGATAGATTATCGAGCGGATGATCGATGATCGGCGATCTTAAGTCGCTCCTGCAATCGCTTTTCGTCGTGCCGTGCGCTTCCTTTTCAGGACTTGCCGATCTCTGCTCCCTCTTGGACCGTAGCTTGCTCTCCTCGCGCGATTTCAATCGCTCTATCATCGCCTGGATCCTACGGTCCGGCGACTGACTGCCATCGGTAGCTAAGTTTTCGATTTCCTTAAGCAATATATCCCTTTCGTCGACGGGTTGCGTCGACTCGTTGTTGCTATCGTTGTTCCTGCTAATCTTGGATCTCCTCCCTCGATTCCTCGACTCCACTTCCTCCTCCCAGGACTCTTTTATTCTCGATTTATGAGAGCCGTTGAGCTCTCTCTCGACAGACTCGCCTCTTTGTCGGCCCTCCCTCGGCAAGGATCCTACGTATCCTTCGTCCCGATACTCCGGACGATCGTGCGATTTATCCAGCTTCGCACCCACGGGCTCGCTCCGAAATTTCCCATTTGTCAGCTGCGTGTCCTCGAGATCCTGCTTCTTCGATTTTCTCGCGTCGTCCTGAACGACGTCCCAGAAACCGAAGTGCTGTCTGCTCTTCTTGTGCGACAGGTCGGCATTGTTGTCTTCCGTCTCAACATTCTTATTATATTCCCGTCCGTTCCGCTCTATCTTGCTGTCATTCTGCTTTGACATGCCGAAATGATAACGATTGCCGCGCCCGCCGTTCTTACACGACCGGCTGGAGTGTACTTCCGGCTCGCTTAGATGGAAATGATCCTTGGCGAACGAGGTGGCCCTCGGCGTATCCTTCACCGCCGAAGGGCCGCGCAGGCGGGATGTCATCTTCGCGAGGAACGGAATCTTGAAGACAAAAGTTGTTATATTTCGCCCAAGTGATACCGCTCCTATGTACGTAACGTATAGGTGTGACTTGCGATATAGATCGGTATGTGGCAATTGATATATCACTGGAAATTCTCCCGCGAAAGCACTTGGCGGAGTAATCCTTTTTTCTATTTTGGAAAAATTCGCAGCTTTTTCCGATGAACGTTAATTCCTCGCGATATCCCCAGGCTTGAAAGAGGAACGTAGGCGCTCTGAGACACGCACGGTTAAGTGTACGAGCGCTAACCTATTATTATTCGCGTATATCGAACCAGCCCAACGGCTACCGTCGATGCCGATCGATCTCCGATCCTTCGTCATCCACCGTGCGTACGTGTTTGTAACTCGACGTCAGTGCACGGGCACTCAAGCTACCCTAGGTTCACTAGTATTTCTGAAATCAGCATCGAAAGCACTGTTCGTTTGAAACGTAACGTGTATCACGTCATTTAAAAATGTATCTGTTTTTCCACCGAGTACCTCACATCCAGACAAGGGGGGATCTCTTGAACGTACAGGATTTAGTTGATGTTCTACTGCAAATTGGGTTTAAATATCGAAATGACACAGAAATATGTCACTAATAAATTTACTCCTGGTGAGTAAAACGCTTAAACTGATTGAACCGATTAACCGCACAGATTCCTCACGGGCTTGAACCATTTCTTCATCCCAGACAGAAGCGACTCTCCAGTACGGATCTCCACAGTTTTCGCGAAAATTAAACCGGAGTTTTCTCAGACCACTGAAATCGGAGCATCAGATCGAGATAAACACAACAACGTGGACGATGATCGCGACTAAATGATGACGCGCCCGAATATGAGTATCTCGCCGAATCCTTTGTACTCTTCGCGCAAGGACACACCTTCCGAAACTCACGGTTACCGAACCGTAAACGTCTCGCGTCCGGGAACTCTCGGCCTCTCTCTCTTTCTTTCTTCGCTTCTGAGGTTTTTTTTCGGGAGAGAAGCGAAGGACGATCTTCGGCGGATCCTCGCGAGTCCTCGCGCCTCGCCGAAACTCGCAAGAGTGCGAGAGAGCGCCGGCCTGCTCTCCTCTCGAGGTGGCTCCTCCTCGGCGAGAAGCCGCTAGCCGGCTTCGGGATGGAACGACGACGACGACGAACGCGCGCAGCAGACGACCCTGAAAGTCGTCTGTGGACTTTCACGAACGCGAGCACTTTGCCGGTCGGAGTCACCACGAGAGTGTGCACCGGAGGGAGAGCGTGTTCCTCCCGCTCTCCCGTCCCAGCCCCCTATCCTGTCGAGGCCCCCCTCGCTTCCAGCCGTCCGCGGGCCGTCCCCTTCCTCGCTGTACCCTCTCTACCCCGTCTCCATTGCGCGCCACGTTGTCCCCCCCTTTTCGTCCTCCTTCGCGCCGCCGTCGACTCCTTTGCCTTTTATTCACGGTCCTGCGGTCCTCCCCGAGGTGAAGCAGAGACTCTCCCGTTAATCCACTGATGGGCAACCACGAGATACGTCAAACACGTCGTCGAGATTCATCATTTTCTTAGGTCGACGAAGGCCTACTCTCTAAAAATCAATCAGTGAATTATCACTGAAAACGGTGAATAGTCACTGCGATTTTCAGTGGTACACTTGTAACTGCAAATCAGTGGCCGTTCACCGTTTTCAGTGGTAGTCCACCGATTGACTTTTAGAGAGTATGGAACTGACAGAAAACTTTTCAACTTCGGAGAAAACGTTTGATAATTTGAGAGGAAACTCGAGTTTTTGAAAGTTGGAAACTAGCTTGAGGCGATAAATTGCGGCAAAGAGGATACGTCAATTTAGCTATGAATTCTATTAAGTTACTGAACTAGGACTAATATGATGGAAACATGTTCGTCAATGTCCTTACGATAACTAATGCAGGAAATCAATATACTTTTTTTGAACGACAGAACGAGAGCGGAAGCATCGTCTTTCACTTTCGAGCCGGGCGTTCGCGCGGAAATTAATGGCATACTTCGTATGTGAAAGGAGCTAAATGCGCGAAAATATAGAAAAACGACACATTAATATTCTCGTTACACTAATATTACAAGTGGATCATCCGCGTATTATGCTTCATTAAAACTTTCCTCTGGGATTCTTATTCGCAGCGGCTAACGTAAATGTCAAGCTAAGAAATTAAATTTCGAAGCAGGAGTTACGCCGAAGATCGGCAAATTCTTAGAAATTAAGCCAAGAAATTAACAATGTAACTTGACGTAATTGCGCTCGATAAATTCAGAACTTTGAACATTCGAGCATGCCGCAATTCTTCCCGTGCGCACTGCGCATAGAAGCGCAGCTCGCGCATTAAACTCGGAATATCCAGGCGGAGGTGGACGTCGCGGATACTCTCACAGGAACTTCGAGAATGTCGTCGGCGCTAAAGGCGCCGCTGTCTTGCGTCGACCGTGGTCCCGCAGCTTAATGAGACCTTAGCGATCCCTTAATGGGGCTGGTTGGATTAAAAAAAAAAGGTAATATCCCATGAAGAACGTTACTTAACGCATGTTTATGCCGAGAAAAGTCAGGCGACAAAATCGTTGACAGAGAGAAAACCAGAAAAGAGGACGGACTGGGGGGGGGGGGGGGGATTCCTTCGCACCATACAACGTGATATTCAGCTAGTTTTCGCCTTATCTCGCGAAAAATTACAAGCGATTCAATGAACGACACCGACGCTGATTGCAATTTGCCAGAATTGAAGCTACGATCAGCAGAAACTTTTTAAAACTTCTTGAATCCTCAGTTGTATTAGAATCAGATTATTAATAAACCCATTAACGTAAATGTTCAGCAGATCTTTAGGAAAATATCAGATTTAAAACTTTTGACAACCGTCGTTGATTCTTACCAAAAATACAACTTTATAGTTAAACATTTTAAAATTCTTTTAAAAATCGACCAAGCTGGCATAAAAAGTGATATATATTCAAGTCACAACGTTTCGACCTCTTTATCGGGTCCTTTTCAAGTACAATCTGGAAACAAATTACAAAAGTACAAACCGCAATACAAAGAAAGGAACTTTTAGCACATAAGTATGTGTTACAAAGGAGAAAAAGTGAAAAAGAACCTAAAGTTGACTGAAGAAATAAATTTTATGCCGAAACAGAATGAGTTGATGAGTCTGTGGCAGCAAATTCATAATGTCATATCTGGAATTATTACGAGTACAGATAAATAAATAATTTACTGCCACAGACTCATTGTGTTATGATTGTTTTTCTGGTAAATGAAATTCGGAGCTTAGAGACAACAGCGACAGAGTCTAGCTACGAAAGGGTTAACGAACGACCCATTGCTGAAATGACGAGGGGAAGGAACTGGCCCGTGAATCATCGCCGAATAAACGCTGACGTTCCACAGCATGAAAACGCGCGGCATAAAGGGAGAAAAAGATATTTTCTTCGGCGAAATGCACAATCGAGCCCGTCCGTGCGTGCCTAATCGCCTCTCGACCTCGCGGGTGCGGCGAGATTTTACTGCGAATCACGCTGCGCGCTCGAGAAGTGTTCCGTATGAATTTCTTATGTATTCCGATACACAAAACGCAATCTCTTAGCGTATACAAATAAAAAAATGAATGATGCACGTAGAAACATTAAACGACAGTTTTGATCAATGACGACATAATAATAAGAAAATTGATAGAATTGTATTGTCAAGTCTGCAAAAATACAATTACATTATTTCTACGATCGCGAAAAGCAGTGGTCATTTCACTGCTAATCCATTATGTTTCCACGTAAACGGCACGCTACAATCTTTCCGTCGTATCGAAGACAATGAGAGGCCACGGCGGCATTGAACGCGAGCGAAATATCACCGCTCTCCGTTGCAGCGTGGATAATCGCTAAATTAGCTGAATCGTTGCTCGCGCGCATCGATGATTAGCTATCGCGGAATAATTTATATCGCGCGGCGGGCAGCGTGTTTACGGCGATTAAAAGCCACCGCGGCGAGCCGATGCGGCCCGATGGCTCTCGATCGAGCGCGTTTCTTCGCCTCGTATCCGATTCGCGAACGCGCGTTATTAATCACGCGTGTCCCATAAGCGGGCTTTCACTCTTGCGTCACGCCGTAAAGCCAGACAATCGGCCCGTGCTTCATATATCACGTCTCCCGTTTCGAGCGTCGGACGCGCAACAACGACACGATGATATCTTGATCAATTGCATGACTCGCGTCCTCGTCGAGTAATTCGTTAAATCGTCGCGCGATTGCACGGACGCGGCGGTATCGACATATCGAACGACCGACCCCGCGCCGAGACTCGCCAATCTGACAATAAAACCCCGGCGCATCATGCCGCAATAATTATCGCGGCTCTCGAGACGATTAATTCCCCGGGAACGACGTAATTAATTTATCGCGTGCTTCCAGCATCGCGTGGCGTTTCACGAGAAATCGCGCGATCGATCGAGGTGAGCGCTAATAGCCGTGATCGCTCAGCTCACATTCACCCTCCCCTGTTCTTCTCGCGGAACTTTTACCGCGACTGCGAAGCTTCTTTAAACAGATTCTTAGCTGTAACGTTTGTAAAATGTTAGAAAAAAAGGAGAACCATCGTTACCATATTATGTCTCTTTTCGTATTTTTTAATTTAGTTTGACAGTAATGTCCTTTTCGTACAACCGATCGTAGCCTCGATCGCATTCGAGAGCGCATCTGGATTCGAGGAGATTCCTCCTTTTCTGGAACAGACCGAACAGACGGTCGAATCGAAAGTTGCACCCCATTTCATGTTCCGGTTGTGGACATCGCAAAATGCCGGTTTGCAATTTTACGATTCCGATGGCGAGGTGGAAAGGCCGGTTATCCATAACCGAAGAGGATGAACCGTTTCCAGGTAACGTGCCGGTTGTTTAACGGGTCCCAGCGCCGCGAATGCGCACAATTAAGTTCCGCTTTGCGCTTCTTTCGTCTCTAATTGCTCGATGAATTTCCAGTCGCGCGAATCCACTCACGATTCTC